CTCCGCCCCCGGCGCTCCCCCCAGCCAATCGGCGCGCGGCCCCAGCACTGCCTCTCCAATCAGCGCCGTGCGGCTGGGCGCTGCCCACGCCCCGCCTGCCCTCCCTGTGTGCCCGCGCCCGCCATTTTGTGTCTCTCGCCGCTCTCCCTGCGGGTCCCGGCGACCCCGAGTCCTGCGCTGGGTCTGGGGGTAACGAGCAAGAATCCCGCGTTCGGGAGGGACGTTGGCTCGGTTATTTGGAGCTGCGCAAGGGCCGGGGCCTGCTTTTGTTTTTTTCCCCACAAATCACCTTTCCAGGCTCTCTAAACCTGTATTTACACACAAACCAGATTTACAGATTCAGTAACTTCCTAAGCACATTCCTCTTATCAGTTAGTAATTAACATACATTTATAACGTTGCTTACTCCACATTTCCACTATTACGCATGCTTGGGGTAAAAGTCTTCACCTGGGCAAGGTTCTTTTTGACCTATAGGTGTCATTTTTAGTATTAAAGGCAGTTTGTTTAAGGACACGCAGACCTTGGGTTTTCCTGCCAAGTTCGCACTGTGTAAAAACAAATGTATCCAAAAATGTATCTAAACGGCCTAACAGTTTCAGGTTAGAGAGTGCCTTGGAGCACAACACCTAAAAGCAAACAGGTCCCGAGGAAGCTAAGGAGCAAACGGGGGAGTCCTGGGGGGCGCAAGGGACAAAACTGACCCTCTCGAGGCACTGTCTGACCTGCCATAACCCTGCTCGGACCCTGCCTCTTTTCCTCGAGGAACCAGCACTTTCTCTAAGGGAACCGACTGCTTTTGCCTCCTCCACGGCAGATTTCTCTCAGTAGCAAAGACCCTTCAACGAACAAAACAGCACGATAAGTATTACAACCTGCTCTGAACGCTTTCGTGGGAGAGAACAGCGTCAAAACGAGTTATTCGACTCAGCCTTCGCTATATGTGCGACCCCAGCACCGTCGGCTTTTTCTTTTTTTAAGCAGGGGTGCAAAAATACCCCCCTTTTCGCAGTAGTATTTATAATGTCTGCTCATGAGAACGTCCTGCCCCGCACGGCGCATGCGCACGCGCGCTGCGGCACGGCCAGCGCCGTGACGTCAGCGGCGGGGGGG